GATCAAGTCGGATTAGTCTATGTAAACGCTTGATCGTTTACATATTTTAATATACAGTTGACCAAAGGCTAGACTAACAAGGGAATTTTATAGTTTGATGATGAATATAATATTGCGATCATGAAGAGTATTTTCTGTAGTCAACAAATTATGGCAATAATTAATCAACATAACAAAACTATCAAACTACACCTAGTCGTTAATCACCGGGGAAAATATGACAAAATTATGGTCCTATATCATTATGAATTGCTGATAAAGATAAAAAATTGTTAACAATTATGATATGTATGTTACTTTTTGAACTAAGTGTTGATGCTTTGGTGGTTATGTGGTTAAAGGTTTTATTTTGAATATTTTTTTTTGATAGAGCTAGAATATTTTCACTGAGATTTAAATTATTTAGTGGAAAATCTAATATTTCTATGGATATCAAAAGATTAGTTTAGATTTCGGTCTGAGATTCCTCGATTGTTTTAAAAAAATTAAAAAGTATATTGCGTTTTGTTTATAAATTTAAAAGGTGTGGACGTGCGGGATGGTGAGCCAGCAGGTGATTGTCACTCGTTGTCTTGTAGTGAGACAACTCTCATTAACTACCCATTTATTTTAGATAATAAGAACTAATAATTTGATACAATTAGGGGGATGCTTAATTTTGGGGTCCTTTCCAACATTTTCTCACGACCTTATTGCCGGTCTAGCTTTCATTTGTTAACACACACCACTTTTGGTTTTGCACGTGCGTTACACTGTATAAAACTGTGATTAAGATACTTATTATTTCAATATATGTTAACTTAAACAATGTACTTGTGGGAATAGTTTATCCAACATTGAGATTTCGTGTTTTGATATGCTTCTTAAAAGGTTAACGTTATTAAAAAAAAACTTACAATTACGACAGAAGAAGATGAAGAGATGGGTCACAATGGTTCGTATAGTTTCTGTTCCCTTACATCTAAAATTCTCTAAACTTCTTCTTAAGACGATCAGTTTTTTTTTTTGTTTATGACAAATACAAAACGGCCGATGCTACAATAGTATATATCTTCCATAACCAATAGTTATTGTATTTTCTACAACAATAAGACTGCATTCTATATAAAGTCTATATCACTTTGATACCCAAATGGTTC